ACATAAAAGGCCATAAAATCTGGAATTCATTACCTGTGAATATAAAAGAAACACTGTCTGTTTATAAATTCAAGTCTCTTCTCAAAAATCACTTACCGACAACTAAATAAATACTGAATAATTGTATCTCATAAATTGTATCTCATAAATGTTTCTCATTATTGTATCTCATAAATGTCTAACCAGTGACCCAATCAAACTTTATTTTTTAATAACATTACCTAGCAGAATACTCCATTCTACTGAATGCTCAGCAACACAGTAAATGACCATATAACCTGTCTTTGTAATGCTCATTTGCGCTAAATTGTTATCTGTTTACAATAATGTTTTTACCACTGAATATATCATTGCTTAGCTAATCTTAAGTTAATTTTAAGCTCTGCATACAATGGGCTTTGGCGTGTACAAATGCACTGTAATAACTGTATTCCTTTGTACTTCACTGTATCATGTTCAGATTAATAAATATAATCAAAACTCAGAACCACGTGATTGCTAGCTCCATGGGGCCTCTCGTAAGTGATGTCCTCAATGTCTGAACTGCTCAGGGTGAACATAAGATCCAGTCTTGCTGGCTCATCCTCCCCTCTCTCTCTGGTAGTGTCCCTGACATGTTGATGCATGAGGTGTGTCCACCATCGCTCTGTTGTTCTCTTTGCCTCCTGCAGTTCTGTGGTAGGTTATACATCACTGCAATGACTACTTTATGTTCTCCAGACTGAATTTTACCTACTATGTAGTCCCTTTCTCCAATCATGTCCATGCCTTCCATTTCCTCAAATCCCCATCGGTTTTTTATGAGCAGTGCAACCCCTCCTCCCCCTCTACTCCTTCTATCTTTCCTCAGGATCTGATATCCCGGTGGGAAGATTGCATCTGTTATTGTCTCAGCCAGTTTCGTTTCTGTGACTGCTATGATGTCTGGGGATTTCTCGCTGATTCTTTCGTGCCACTCCTCATAGTTATTCGTTATTCCATCCACGTTTGTGTACCAAACCTTCAGCTTCCTTTCTGTCACTGTGGTCCTGAGAGAATATTAGGGTTGGGGGAGTGAGAGGCTTGGTGGGGGCCTATGGGGGGCTGTGGTGTGGGTGGGATTTGTGATGAAGGGGGTGGGTCAGAATGCCCATAGGGAGCAGCTGTTGGGGTGAGGTTTGTGATGTGGGGGTTGGTGGCAGAGGGAACAGTGTGTGGGTTCTGGCTTAGATTGTTCAGTTGTGTTGGGATTGTCGTGGTTGGAGTCCTTCTGCAGGAGTTTCTGCGGGGTGTGTTTGCCTTCCTCCTGTGTCTGGGTCCTGCTGATCTTCATTATTGCCTCTCGTTCCTCCTTGCGTCTCTTTACTCTCTCTTTCAGTGTAGTCCTTTCTTCTTGTGTTCTGTCACGATCAAGGTATACTGTCTGGTACCCCTGTTTGTCCCTCTGTCGTGCTTTCTCTTGCAGGATCCTGGTTCCAACTGATTCTTCCTTGAAAATTACTTTGACAGGCCGTATCCTTCCACTCGCAAACCACCCAATTCTCCAAAAATTTGTCACCTGGGTCATATCGTCCTCACCTATTGTTTTCATGATGCCTTCAGTCATTTTTTCCTCCTCCTGTTTTATTTCTTCGCAGTTGTCCCCTTTGGCTTCTTGGAGCCCGTAGATAAAAACTGACCTCTCCCTTTTCTCATCCCACTGAGTCTCCATTTGCATCCTCTGAGGTGTTTTAGTTCCTTCCATTGAAATGTTCTTGCCTTCAGTCCCTGCCCTTGCTGAAACTTCTATGCTCAGTGAACTGTCTTTTATGATCAGCTGTTCCTTGCTACTGCAGTCGGTTGTTAGAGTCTCTGCATATAACATACCTTTATTGTCTTCAGACCTGTCATTTGATCTTAGTGTGCTCCTCGTCTTTTCCTTGGCCCCACGTGGGTCTGATAGGGTCTTCGCGTACGGCATATCTCTTTTGTTTCTTACCGTCCCCTTGCCTGTGCCTGTGTGTGTGTGTGTGTGTGTGTGTGTGTGTGTGTGTGTGTGTGTGTGTGTGTGTGTGTGTGTGTGTGTACATTTATGTGTAAATGAGTGTTACACAACACTGATTTATCTGGTGTAATGTTGAAGAATGAGACACTTTTGCAACATTTGGGAATCTTTACTGAGGAAACGTTTTGCCAACCAGTGACTTCTTCAGTCCAATACACAGAAGAACGGTGCAAGATGAGAAGTTCGAGATAATCAGTCCCTCAGCCTGGAGTCGATGTGTTCATTCCGTCAGTCTTGAGAATGTACAGCACATATTACTTCTCTGAGCATATGTTGTACATTTCTCATGACTGACGGACTGAACACGTCGACTCTAGGCTGAGGGACTGATTACCTCGAACTCCTCATTTTTTTAACCAAATTAGCCCAGGAACCTAGTCTTTCTCTGATGAATTATTGCAATGTAGTGCAGCTTAGTCCTGCCTAACTCATCTTGGGTCAGCCTACATATAATGGTTATCGCTTAGTAAAAGTGAAGGAGAGTATGTTTCTTGATGTTGATAATGGCATAAAATACCGACAAGTTGATGATTAAGACACATGTGCAACAGTTGGGTATATTTATTAATGAAACGTTTCGCCTACACATCTTTATTTAACTACTATACCTACTGTCTCGGTATTTGACTTAAGAAGCCTACTGTGTAGGCCCAACGTTCCAACAATAATTATACCCAATTGCTACACAAGTTTCTTAATCATCATGTTTTTGCATGCACGGTGTATCATCTCTTTGATAATGTAGTCCAACTTTCTCAAACGTTTTTTTCATTCTCTCCTTTACGTAATTTTTGTCGCCTTGTACTATGATGATGGTGAGTTTTTTTTTTTACAAATATTCAATTTTTCCTGTATATAGAATAGGTCATGCTGGCTCGAGTAGGCTAGATAAATACATGAGTGAGAGGGGTTGGATTTGTGTGGTACTTTCATAACATGAGTTAATAGGCTTATCAAAGCATTGAAAATGGGTTGGACAAATATTTTTGTTAGTGTGTCTGGGTTTGAGAAAGACCTGCCTAGTATGGGCCAGTAGATCTGCTACAGTGCTCCTCTTTTCTTATGCGCTGAGAGATGACAATTCCTAAGTAACAGTAACTCCAGTTCTGCTGGATCGAAGCCTTTGAAGCTCCCGTAGCAGCCAAACATTTGATAGAATAAGTGACCATATCCTCCCTTCCCTAATGAAGTCTCCCGGTTCAGGGTGATAAATTTCAACACTATGTATACACTATGTATACACTATGTATACACTATGTATACACTATGTATGAAAACTAACCTGTGTGATGGAATAGGACAGGGGGGGGACAGAGTTAGAGCTTTCATCATCACTACTCAATTATCATGGAGGATTGATCAGCATCACGTTACTGGTATAGTCATTTATGATAAATAAGAAAAATATGTATCTTCCCATACCAATCAGTGCCCTCTTCATTTCTCTTTCTCCATTATCATCATCACCACCATCTCATCATTCCAGTTCTTGTCACTGCCATCACTAGTCCCTGTTATCGTCAGAGTCTGTCATCACCATCATCATCACTAGTTACTGTCATCGCCAGAGTCTGTCATCACCGTTACTAGCTTCTATCATTACCAATTCCTATCATCACCACTTCCATTTACCATCAGTTCAAGTAATCACCTGTTTGTATCATCACTAATTTTATTCATGTCATTGTTATTACCATTATTATCCCATGTTCTTATCATCAAGGTAATTCTATTTTCTTTCTGTCATCACCATTATCATTCCATCCTGTCATCTCCAGTTTCTGACATCACCATTGCGACCCCCCATTATTATCATCGGTCCCCCTCTACACCCCCACCGGCTTAAGACATCGTCGCCATCACCATCATCATCAGCATCACCAACATTAGGCTACACACAAACGTTTTATTTATGCGTTGGGTCAGCAAGTTCCTTCGCGGAAAATCAATACCAGCGGGTTCTTGGCTCTTGTTGTTGTTGTTGTTGCTATTGTTGTTGATGCTGATTGGGTCGCCATCCCGAGTGAATTTCTGGAGCCCGTTTCTCTAGCTGTTTTTTTTTTATTTATTCATTATTTATCTTCTTGCTGCATGTTCCATAGAGGTTGTCTCGCACTAAAACTTTGAAAAGGGGGAAAAAAACTCTAACAAGCACTTTGTTCTTTTAGTGTGTGTGTGTGTGTGTGTGTGTGTGTGTGTGTGTGTGTGTGTGTGTGTGTGTGTGTGTGTGTGTGTGTGTGTGTGTGTGTGTGTGTGTGCTTAATACACTAACGAGTTTTAAATCGACCCACCAGTGTATGAATCGATTAGTGTTAACGACATGACAAGACAGACAGCAGAACAGCGAAGAGAAAGATGGGGAGGTAGAAAGAAGTGTCAGCAAACAAGAAGACAGAAGAAACACTGATAAAGCAAGAAATATTAACTTATATAGCAATCCTTATTTACTTCTCAAGGGATGGAGAAGGCTCATCCATACGTTTCCCCCAGACACTTCCGAGGTAAGGCCAGACCTGGCAACTTACACACTACCCCCCCACACAACACACTCCTATCATCTCTCACATGATTAACACAAGAGCTGTTTTGTTTTCGGCACTTTTTGCAGCTTGAGGAATAATGGTGGTGTGTGTATAGTTGGATCACGAGCATATCTGAACAAGAGATATACTGTGATGTCTCACGCACGCGTACCTCTCTCTCTCCCTTCACCTCTCTTGCTCTCTCCTTTTAAAAAAAACATTTTCCTTTCTGCCCACTTGAGCGGCCCAGTCTCACTGGAGAACCACCTTTCTTGGCACAAATGACGTCTTGTAACACCTACCAATATGTCAGAAAACTACGACTAACGGGACCAAATGGTGAAATCATTGGACCAAATTTGTCGTCGCCTCACCAGTGATGGATGTTAACCGGGAAACTGCTGCCTCATTTTCCTCTGTGCCTGGGGCTGTGTGTATGAATGTGAGGGACTGACCTAGCGCATACTGCAGCAGGAGGCCGAGAAGCAGCGCGGCCGGGAAAACGCCGCCTCCGCTCCTCATCTTGCATTACAGAGCAGAGGGTGTCGAGGGATGGCGGCGGCACGATAGGTATAAGGAAGCAGTGGGTCCAGGCGGCGTAGCACAACCACTGTCAGAGTCGCGCGCTTACTGCCAGCTCAGCTGAGCTCGACACCCAACCTCGGCTGCTCCCCCCTACCCCTCTTGCACAGCCGCAGTCCTGCCTCCCTCACCCACACCTCATTATGATCTCAGAAGCTTCATCATCTCATACTGCACATCATTATGATCTCAGAAGCCTAATTATCTCATACTGCACATCATTATAATCTCAGAAGCTTCATTATCTCATACTGCACATCATTATGATCTCAGAAGCTTCATTATCTCATACTGCACATCATTATAATCTCAGAAGCTTCATTATCTCATACTGCACATCATTATGATCTCAAAGCTTCATTATCTCATACTGCACATCATTATAATCTCAGAAGCTTCATTATCTCATACTGCACATCATTATGATCTCAGAAGCTTCATTATCTCATACTGCACATCATTATGATCTCAGAAGCTTCATTATCTCATACTGCACATCATTATGATCTCAGAAGCTTCATTATCTCATACTGCACATCATTATAATCTCAGAAGCTTCATTATCTCATACTGCACATCATTATAATCTCAGAAGCTTCATTATCTCATACTGCACATCATTATGATCTCAGAAGCTTCATTATCTCATACTGCACATCATTATGATCTCAGAAGCTTCATTATCTCATACTGCACATCATTATGATCTCAGAAGCTTCATCATCTCATACTGCACATCATTATGATCTCAGAAGCTTCATTATCTCATACTGCACATCATTATGATCTCAGAAGCTTCATCATGTTATACTTCACAACCTCACCAAATCTAATAGTCAGACCATTATCTTGCCCCTATACTAATAATAATAATAATAATAATAATAATAATAATAATAATAATAATAATAATAATAATAATAATAAATAATAATAATAATAACAATAATAATAATAATAATAATAATAATATATAATAATAATAATAATAATAATAATAATAACATAATAATAAAATTAAATAATAATAATAATAATAATAATAATAATAATAATAATAATAATAAATAATAAAATTAAATAATAATAATAATAATAATAACAATAACAATAATAAATAATAATAATAATAATAATAATAATAATAATAAAATAATAATAATAATAATAATAATAATAATAACAATAATAATAACAATAATAATAATAATAATAATAATAATAATAATAATAATAATAATAATAATAATAATAATAATAATAAATATATTAATAACAATAATAATAAAATTAAAAAAAAATAATAATAATAATACTAATAATTATTATTATTATTATTATAACCAAAAAGAAGCGCTAAGCCACAAGGACTATACAGCAATAATAATAATAATAATAATAATAATAATAATAATAATAATAATAATAATAATAATAATAATAATAATAATAATAATAATAATATCTACATTTCTACAGTACAAGGTATACAAGCCTAGATGACATCAGTGACATACTACTATCTAGAAAGCCGCTTGTTATGTTGAGCATTTCGGGCATATTAGGTCAGTTTTGTCCCAGGATGCGACCCACACCAGTCGACTAACACCCAGGTACCCATTTTACTGATAGGTGAACAGGGACAGCAGGTGTCTTATGGATACATGTCTTAATGTTTGCCATCCATACCGGGGGATCGATCCCCGGACCTCAGTGTGTGAGCTGAGTGTTCTAGCAATAGAGCTACGGGACACCTGAGCTCGATCTGTAATGCTGTCATTGTCATACCACTATAAAGTGATAAAAAATAATCACCCCAAGAGCTGAATCATTATGAGATCATTACCATGGAAGGCTGTAATTATCTTACAGCTATCAAGTGATGCTACTATGATACCATTACAATGAGATGTAACATCTTGCTACTATTGTGTGATGCTGCTGTTATCTTTCCATTGCTATATTATGTGACCATTATCTTACAACTTTATATGCGCTTCTTCCATAACCTTTCCACTATCACATAACAATGCTTTATCTTATCACTAATACGGCACCGTATTTAACTCTTTGACTGTCGCAAGCCCCTTTCTGAAACTGTCATTCTATGTCTCAAAAGTTTTGGAAAAAAAATTATTTTTTTCTTGTGAAATGATAGAGAATATCTTCCCGATGGTAATGACACCAAAAGTACGAAATTTGGTCGAAAACTCACGGAATTACGCTCCCGCGAAGTTAGCGGTCTCGGCGACATATACGCATCGGCAATTTCGCCGACTTTGAGCCCTGTTTTTGGCCAATTTCGTTGTTCCAATTGACCAAACTCATAGCTATTTCTTTAGAACTCCATTTTTTCTATCAGTTGCGTACAAGAAACCGCCCATTTACCGATTTGAACTACCCAATAAAGCGGTCAGAAATTGACAATTTGGCCAATTTCACGCAAATTAATTGTACCATCAGCGGGCCACAACCAGGAGACGAATTATTATTTTACTACTACCGTGCCATGACACAGTAATTTTACTACTGTCATGAATCATTATTTCACTTACCATGTGATGTTGTTCGTAGCTAAATTATGTGGCAACATGCTGATCCTAACAAATTACTTGAACTAAGAGTACTGTTTGCATACCTACACCTCTAAGGGGGCTTAGACAGGAGAATATCAGCGAAAATCCCGGATAATTAAGTAGTTCCTAATACCATGGCTATAAGGTTGTCCGCAAATTACAAGGTCATACTGTGGTGAAGTTTCTTAATTTTCAACAAGTATTTCTTGACACCATCTGCTCTCTTCTGTGGTGCTACGATTACTAGGAACTCTTTGAAGAATCACTGTGGTGGCCATTATGTAAGTGTATTATTGCAGAAATCACCGATATTTTGTGGAAGGTAAATGCACACCTCCGTCCATCACTATATGCAAAGTTCGACTTCCGACCTCCCTTAGCTAGAAAATGTTCCAAGAGTGGGGTTTTCGAGTTGCAATGTCACATTGCAAAAATAAATTTATACACTACTCCAAGCCTCCAATCGAGGAGAGATGTATAAAATTCTCACGCTGTTATTGGCCATTGGTGTATGTTGACGTGCATGCCCTATAATATTGTGTGTTGTTACAGTCTGGTGTACACGGCTGCAACACTGATGGAGACGTCCCACTTTAGGTGTCTATCCCCAATATCTGTACCTCATAGGGCCCTCAGAGACACCAAACTTGCAGGTACCTTACTTTTTTTCTCGTTCAGAAACAAAATGTCTTCTACCTTGCGTTCACTCCTAATTACATTATATCAAACACTGATGAATGAAAAATCTGCCTCTGCTTTTTTCACTATACCCCTGAGAGACTTCATTTGGCATCTCAGTACTCTCATTATTCTATAATTTACAGTACTCTGTACCACAGTACTCTCAGTCTGCCCCAGTGATCTTACTTGATCCAAATGGACAAAGTGAAAGTATTTTCTCCGGTATCTTCACTTTTCCCATTAGTAATCTTTGGCAATAATGACATCAATGTGAAGAGGTAACGGATGATGCACTGATCTGTCTTCAGATTTGTTGTCATTATGACCACACACAAGGTCACAGGATCCCAGCTGAGACATTGGTGCTTAACAACCTCTATAGTATGCTAAGGTCAGTGGTCACGTGTGGTCATACCTGTCCTAAGCTGTCTGGGATTAGCGTGGGGTGTTACCAAGCACCATGGCTTGTTGTAGTGTTTTAAAATCTCAGGTTAAAGTGTTGAAGAAGGAGATTCTACTTCTTCAGGAGGAAAATAGGAGGCTGAAGCTTCGTCTAGATGAGTTTGGGAGTGAGTGTGGGATGGTGGTAGCTGGTGAGGAGGAAAAAGTTATCAGCAGTAATTTGGAGAGTGGCAGCCGCTTTAAGTGGCAAGTGGTTCACAATTCCGGAAGAAGGATGATAAAGAAGGTTAATAGAGAAGATGTGAAGGTAGGAAATCGATTCTCTGTTCTCCAGGACGACTGTACTTCAGTGGTTAATGAGATTAAAGGTACCAATGACTCCCCTGCTTATCAAGGTAAGAATATTCTGATTGCGGGAGATTCTCAGAGAGAGAAAAGTCAGACAGAGAGTGTCTCCCAGGAGCTAGTGTTGGTGACATATGAAGTCATATGTAGTCATATGTAGTCATATGTAGCATCTTGCCTAGAAGGGGAGTGGGCAATGAATGGATGTCTAGGGCAATTGGTATAAATTGTTGGCTAGACAGGTACTGCAAGGAACTTGCAATCCAATTCATTGATAACTGGGATATATTCTATGGCAAGCATAATATGTATGGAAGGGATGGGGTTCATCTTTCTGGGGCTGGAGTGGTTGCATTAGCCAGTTCGATTGAGGGGGTCATTGATGACTTGTCTAGGACTTTAAATTGATAGATTATAGAGGTATGGATGTTTGTGGGAAACAATCAGGCTGCAGTACTAGGGTTGAAAACAGCAGATATAACCAGGATACCTCAGGGATATATTTAGAAGACAATATTCAAAATAAAGTTGCTAGTAAAGACAAATCAAATGATCAACAAAGAGAGATAGTAGTGACTAGCTCCCTTAAGGTTTACTATACAAATAGTAGGAGTCTAATAAATAAGATAGATGAACTAAGATTACTTGCAAGTGCAGGTAATATAGATATTATTGCTACTACAGAGACCTGGTTCAACTTGAAAGATAGAGAAACGCCCTCTGAATGCAACATACAGGGTAATAAACTATTCCATACTGATAGGGTCAACAGGAAGGGTGGTGGTGTGGCGATGTATGTCAGAGATAATTTAAATTGTTGTGTTAGACAAGATATAAGATTAGACACATAATCTCGTTGGCTACAGTTTCTCGAGGGTCATAAAAAGTTAATTTTGAGTGTGATTTATAAGTCCCCAAACCTTGATAGGGAGTGCAGTAAGCTGCTATGAGACGAAATTCATAAGGCTTCTAGATATGAAAATGTGTTAATATGAGATTTTAACTTTAGACAAATTGACTGGAACAATGTGAC